TCAAGCTGAAGACGATCCTCCGATCACGGCTGCGCCGATCTCGATCCCGACGGTCTCGATCGCGGCTACGGTCCTGTGTAGGATTTCGGCTGCTGTGCTGAGGCCTGGGCAGCTGTGAAGGCCTGTTCTCGAAAGCTCAGAGTGGGAAGCTCAAAGCCTTTTCGCGCTCCGGGCTCCGTCAGTCTTGCTGTTCAGTCCCACGATCCTTCCGATCGTCGCGCGCGTCCGGGTCCGCCGGCTTCGCGTCCTGCCAAGGCCAAGGTGGGTTGGACTCGAGGATGGTAGGGTCTCGGAGCACGAGGATCTGCTATGCAGGCACTCTGAGCTTGGTGCGATTTTGCACGCTGAAGGGCTTTCAGTGAAAGGTCAGGGCGGGAAGCTCAAGGCCTTGGGAGTTGCGGCGACGGAAACTCAAACCCAAAGACGAAGCTCCAACCAAGGACCTTCAAACTTCAAGCCAGGAAGCCCAAACGTGTAAACATTGGTGTAAGCCTAAGCCCACGGACACAGAGAGAGAGAGAGCGAGACTTTGTCACAAAGCATCCCTTCCGTCATGCTTTCCAACCTTGACCCTGGACCCGATCCCCAAAGCAGAGACCCAGCGACAAGGCATCAAGCAATGCCCCAATCCAAATGTGGAATCCCCGCGAGGGATCCTCCGGTGGAGGCGGAGGAGGCGCCTCTCCGACCTCCCGGTGAAAATCATAAAAGCAAGATGATGATAATAATAATGATGATGATTGTAATACTAGTAAAATACTCATAAGAAGCTTGTGAAGGTAAGGATTTGTTCCTAGATGTCGAGGCTCAGGACGGGTGACATGAGTTATAAAGGGTTCCTGCAAGCCAAGAGATCCCAACATTCAACATAGAACCCTAAACCCTAAACCCTACACCCTAAACCCTAAACCCTAAACCCTGATGCTCGCGTCACGCATGAACCGCAGGCTTCAGCCTAGGGTAGGTCAGTGCCTTCAGGCTGCAATTCATGCTCTGATGGCTGGGACGCTTGTCGTCGATTTCGTCATCTTGAGACCAAGCCTGCTCCCTGAATAACGTGTAGAACTCACGCCCCTCAAGTTCTGCCGAAAAGTCCGAATCTGCGCCTCGAAATCCAACACCGGAATACAGGTTTTGAAGTGAGTGGACAAATCGGCTTGAAGGCCCATCCGCCTGATCTTCCGCCATGGGCCGGTGCTGCGATTTCCCTCTGGCAGCCTCTGCAACCACGCCTGGGCCCTAAGTCCCTGTCCCCTGACCTAGGCCAAGGCCGTAAGCCTGATGTCCAACGCCCGATTTCTTTACCCGAAGCCCTGAAGCTCCCGCCGACACTTCTCATGAAAGCAACTCTAAAGCTGAAGGTTTGACAGTTTGGCTGCGACATGTGTGCTCTGTTTGCTGAAGTCCTTTTCGTAAACATCTCTTGTGTCTCTTTGCTTCTCTCTTCATGAGTAAAACTTGGGACTGGCAGCTCTGGCTGCGAGCCGGCGTGGCCAACTGCAGGCAGCAGAAGGTTGGTGACTCCGTGGGCATGGAGGACATTCGTGGGAAGGCGGATGCCGGAATCGTAGGCAACATGGAACAAAGTATCATACGGTACCGAAAACATAGGACCCCAAAACTCTGGGATACCATTTAAGCTTGCTCTGCAGGAAAGTGCTTGCGTGTGGTGGTTTTGGAAGAAATATCTGACTAACCCCTCGATGCCTGGGTGTTAAATGCCAGCAGCATCGCACCCAGCACAAGCGGACTTGTGATCTTTGAGGCTTCTGGGGACTGCAAATGCTGACATGCAAGTTCACGATCTTGCGTCAGTTTGTTGCATGAGGGCCGAGCGCGTAAGCCCTACACAAATGAGTCCCGGAATCCTTTGAAGGGGTCCTAGCCCAAGAGCTTGATAACAGAAATGGAGCCGAAATCCGTTGTGCTCGGCACTGCCTTCGATCACCTGGAAGACAAACAGCTGCTTTTAGCAAATCCGAAACTGTTCAAGTCCCCACATTCAAAACCTGCACTTTCTCGGCATGCTCGCAAATGCTTTTCAACGTTTGTCGGGTTGAAGCGCAATGTTGGCGGGTTGCAGGCAAGAGCTCAGAAAATCCATCGGGCGAGTGACTTACCTGGCAAAATCTCGGCGAACCGTCCCAATCCCTTCTTAGATACCGTACACCCATCTCCTCACGACGCTGCTACTGGATAAGACCAACAAAAAGAGGCTTCAGAAATCGAGGAAGGTGACCATAGCGAGGAAGGCGCTTCCATACGCACCAAACCTCCCACCATCTGGCCGCAAAAAATACGAACCCCGCCCCAACAGTGTCGGGAAGACAGTTGTTCTGGATCTCGTAACAAAGCGGGCCTTTGATCTTCGTCCCCTTCGCCTCCGATGCCGGGATGACTAAGACCAAGATCTCGAAGAGCTTTTGGGGCTGAGAGTTCGGGACTTCTTCGGAAAGACGCATTATTTTTCGGGAGCGCTTAGCATCCAGGGTGTAGGGACTTCGGTCAGATTTAGGGGTTGCTGGATGCTGCAGGTTTACAGGCTCTAGGAAAACAGTCGAGAGAGCGACGATGGATTCAATTCCTGCGCTCAAACAGCAACACGATTGACCCTCGAATGTGAGCCCGCGCACGTTCCTCTTTCTGATGCGTTTCTTGCAACCCATCAGGAGTGTTTATCTCCTCAGGTGCTGTCGAGCTCACTAGCAAGCCTCTCCCGTTGAGTCTCGAGTTTGAAGACTTCGAGTCTCTGAAGTCATGTGGCTAAGATTTCTGACTTGGGCTTGGGCTTTGGGCTTTGCGGTGCGCAGCGAAAGGGCAGGTTTGTGGTAGTCTGTGTGGTGCCTTGTTCTTCGAGATGCAAACGAAGGAGTTCTCACTGAACTTGATGTAGCTGCCATCCTTGCCTGGCACATTCCCACAGCTCTGCTTTCACAGATGAACCAACGCGAACTAAAAGTGTCGTCCAATGTGGAGCAAGCCGTCTGTGGCTTGTTCGACCAGCTTGACGTGGGGAGGGAGGCTTGGTGTCGGCGGTGGTGGGGGAGGTAGTGCTGTTGCCGTTGTCGTGGGATTGCGAGGATGATGCTTCTGCTGATGATGATTGATGACGGTCATGACACCGGCTATGACGGCTACGACAATCGCTATGGCTTGCAGATCCTGGAGGTGCTGCTGATAATCATGGTCATTCTGTAATGATTGTTGCTTCGTGGTTACTATCGACTCAAACCTGCATTGGCTACACCAAATAGCAGCACCGATCGACTGGTGCTCAACCCAACACCTGAAAGCGCTGGAGCCCTGCAACGATAGCCAGGGTCGCGATTGCGCTCCTGGCGAACACCGATGTGAACTCGTGCAGGACTTTACGGTTGTGTGCCAGCTTGTGAATTCTGCTCAAAACCGCTCGAGATCGCACAAGCACGGGGCATCCTTGCGGGTGCGGGCGATGATGCCCTTCGGCAACTGCTCCCCCTGCCAAAGGGGCCACGGCCCAGAGAAGCTACAAATAGTGGGACAACTGAGGACTGCAAACCGCCGCTTGGAGCAAAGCTGGGCCGCTGCTGGGCCTTGTACCACTCGTGCTTGTCGCGGACCTCAACATCTCCCATGTCACTCGGGCGTTGCGAGTGTAGGATTTGCAGCGGCTTGGGCCGAGGGCTTGTGGCATACGAGCATAGCTTATTGTAACAAGTGGAGATTGCACCAGAGCTGCTGAGCCCCAGGAATGCGTCAAGACGTGCAAACGACCTGTAGTCAGAAGCTGGATTTGTCAGATCCAGTCGAAACTCCTTTTTGGGGCTTCATTATTCGATGGACATTCATCCTAAGAATCCAGTATCGACGCCGTGTGTGCACACCTCAAGCATGCACACACAATGTCGGCATTGAAATCCTGAGCGTTTCGGCCCCAAACAACAAGCCAGACAAGCAACTGTAACAAACTCTACGAGGAGCTGTTTCTTTCTGTGAAGTCTTTGGATTTAGATCCCGGAGTTCTTGCGAGCTTGTACTGGGCCACCGCGCACTGACGCGGATGCGATCGCCGATCTTGCCAGTTCCCCACTTGTTCCTGCCTCGGCCAGACAGATGCTGCTAGCAGGTAGCAGCAGCTGCGGCACGGGAGGGAGGACAAAGGGGAAGCCTGAAGGAAATGCGCCGCAAGCTCGAGTTCCTGAACTTCGAGGCTTCGGTTCGGTACCGAACTTAAAACAACCTCGGGGGGTTGACAGTCCGGGTCGGGTTGGAGATGGTTGGAGTTAGGATAATCAGAGAACCTAGTCTCACGAGGCTCGTCTCAAGATTCGAGTCTGGAAATGGTGCTGCGGCTGTCCGTCAAGCGCACCCTCCGATCTTGGAGCACAATCAATGATTTGTCTGCAACCTCCAACCGCTCAAGCACGGCCCTGTCAAAACGACGTCCATGACCCTCCGAGCGTCCGCACCCAAACCGATGATGCAAGCCTTGATGATGCCCGTGTTGTCAGCACAGCGGACCTTAAGGCACACTGGAGTCATTGCTTTTAGTATGGTGCCGACTATGCGCTTCGCTCCTCAGTCAAACGTCGCACGGATTTTGGCGGCTGTCTCAGTGGGTTCGGAACGAGGTACGATGCGAAAGCGCTCCCAGGTCCAACCGGATGGCAGGTCCTGAATCGCCATGTGGCCGCTGAACCGTGAAGCGCTCCCATGTCCACCCGCTCTGGAAATCAGACGCACCGCGGGGATCAGTGTTTCCCAGCACTGTACCCCTCCTTTGAATGAAGCGGTTGTGGGCAGTATTGTGGAAGGCGACCTGACCATTGCCGGCGTCCACCACGGTGAAGCGCTCCCAGACCCAATTGGAAGGCAAGTCGTTCCGGATTGCAAGTAGGGCCTTACGGGCACAATCTGGAAACGCTCCCATGTCCAACCGCCTGGCAGGTCCTGCGGGCTCATGTGCCTACTGGAGTCTGCCTTGTCAGTCGTCATCCTGACCATGCGGTTGTGCAAAGAGTTGTGGAACACAAACTGACCGTGACCAGCAGGAATCACTGTGAAGCCTTCCCAAGTCCATCCGGAGGGGTAAGCATCAGGAGCCATGGGGGAGCTGACCAGCATTCGGGGGCCGTCCATCTTCAGGTATCTGTTGTGGAGGCTGTTGTGACAGCCGGCATCAATAACCGTGAAGCGCTCGTAGGTCCAGGAATCTGGGAAATTGTCAACGGTCCGGGGTGCGCTGCGGCCGATGGTGCCTCTGAGCGCTTCTTGACCGGCCCTTTCCTCAGCCTCTTCTTGTTGCCTCCGGGCCTCTTCCTCTGCAGCCCTCTTGATTTCTCCGGTGGGATCGAAAGAAGATATACCTCCGCCAAACAATCCTCCGAGTCCTCCGAGTCCTCCCCAAAATGATGTGCCCTTCTGAGTGTGGCTCTGAGTGTGGTTCTCCTTCTCCAGCAGAAGGGCCTGGGGAGCACCAGGATAAATGAGAAGGCAGCGGCCGTCATGCAGACACCGAAGGGCCACCGTGGTACCCGGCTGAAGATATGGCTTCACATGGACCACCTGGAAACGGCCACACCTCCCACTTCTCGCACGGTGAACCGTTCCCAGCTCCAACCGTCGGGTATCGCCCCTCTTTCAGCAGATCGCCCTATGTTCCCACCATGCATCTGTGCGAAGCGATTGTGGACCTGGCTGTGCAAAGCGATGGTGGTGCCGGGAAGCAAGATCCTCCATCGAGGTGTAGGTATCCTGTCTCGGCTTGAGCACAAGCCTCTCTCGGGAGCTCTGCGCTTCAATCTCCTCGACCATAGCTACGAGCAGGGTTAGGATTCGGTCGCGCGCGGACCTTTTGACAACAAGGAAAGCCCTCAGCAGACTCGTCACGCGCACGATTACAGAC